ACACACACACACACACACACACACATATAGTTATTTTAAGAACTATTTTATTTACCCATTTTTTAATTTCAGTGTGACCAGAGAGGGGGAGAAGGGGATAGGGGGAGAGGGGGAGAGGGGGAGAGAGAGAAAGTAAGTGAGAGAAAGTGAGAAAGCAAGTCACCAGGTTCAGGACTCGAATTGTAATTGGCCATGTGGGAATCCAACACCTTTAACCACCACGCCATCTGCTGGCCCCAGCATAATATATTTTTAAAGCATTTCTAAAAATTGAAAGCAAAATTGGGGCAGCTAGGCAGTGAGTTGTGCAGTTCAAGTCCCTGACCTGGAGGCTTGAAAATCACTCTGGGCACATGTGAGAGCAGCTCCAAATTCTGAGAGGTGATTGGAGAAGGGACTACGGTGTGGCTATCTCCTGTGGGGGATGATTTCTACCTATCTCTCTTTCTGTCTCTCTTAAGTACTTGCATCTTATAGCAAATTAAAAAAAAAAAAAACCCTGAAAACAAAATGCAACAAAATGAACTACGTGTATACTTGGAGCAATAGAGCGACTATTTCTAGTTAAAACACAATAGCAGGTGGGTGGGTAGGATCGAGAGCTAATGGTGAATGGACACAAGAATGCACGCAAACAAATGAAATGGGTTATGAAATGGTACACAAAATAGTAAAAATTGTCATTGGCAATTCAATATATACTTCCAAAAACAAACAAGGAAAACAATTACTGGATGTATGTGACATAACGTTCATTCCCGAAGGTGAATCTGTCTGCACATGACGCACTATGGGAGTGCTTTGAAAAACCACACTCATTCAGTATATCCCACTAAGATGTATAGTGATGTACACTCACAATTTAAAAACGAAAAGAAAGAAAACTCTTCATGACTGCTAGTTTAGGTATCTTAGCAGCATCCAAGGCTCAAGTGAGCTTCCATAATTGGCAATTCTTTTTTTTTTTTGAAAGAGATTTTTGCTGTAGGATGCGTGTGCTTACTGAAGAGAGAGACAAAAAACAAGTAATCACCCCCCCAGGGCAAATGGCCACACTGTAATCCCTTCTCCATTCTCCTGTCAGGATTTTGGGCATGCATGCACATGTGCCTGGTTTGAATTTTAAGCCACCAGGTCTGGGACTTGAACCACGGTCAACTACATGGGATTCCACTGATGTAACCGTTATACCATCTGTTAGTCTCATAATTGGCGATTCTTGGCACTAGTGACCTGCATCATTGCTGGGAGGGTTAAGTGCTGTCTTTGTGACATGGCTAGGAAAGTCTGAAAATGCAGGTGTTATTCAGGTATGGCGAGGCCACAGATCTAGAGATGACCGCCATTGTCGAGAGCTGTTGCTATATTCACAGATCTCAAGAGGATGGGCCTGCCAAGCCACAGGGCACTACACAGGGAAGCACTGGGCTCCATGAGGAGGCTGAAGGAGGAAGAAGACAACGTGGTAAGCCTTTACTGCAGCTTCCACAGGAAGGAAGGGATGAGGTGTGTAAGTAGGTTTAGCACTGACTCATCTGAATAATTTCAGTAGGCTCCGGGGCCTAGGGGCTGTCACTCATTTTCTGTTCTCTGGCCCTGGGGTGATTGCTTTCTGTCTGTTTCTGTCTTTCTGGTGAGCGCACATTCCCTATAGCAAAAACCTCTCCAAAAAAAAGTGAGGGACTGGCAGATGGCGTGGTAGTTAAGGAGCTGGACTCCCACATGGCTGACCATTGTTCAAGTCCTGGACCTGGTGACTTGCTTCCTCACTCTCCCTCTCTCTCACTCTGACCCTCTCTGGTCAATTTAAAATAAATACATAAATAAATAAATTCTTTAAAAAAATTAAAAAGTGGCTATATGAATACACACAGACACATACAGGGGAGAAGGCTAGGTGAAGACAGAGGCGGATATCAGAGGGATGCAGCTGCAAGCCACAAATACCAATGACAGCCAGGAACCACCAGAAGCTAACAATGTGGTAAGGAAGGATTCTTCTTGAGAGCTTTTAGAGAATGAATCCCACTGACAGCTTGATTTTGGACTTCCAACCTGTAGAACTGAGAAAAGAATTATTCTGTTCTTTTAAGCCACCTAGCTTGAGTTACTTTGTTAAGACAGCCTTAGGAGGGCCAGCAGGTGGTGTGGTGGTTACATTGCTGGACTCCCACATGGCTGATTATGGTTTGAATCCTGGACCTGGTGGCTTGAAAATCATGCTGGGTGCATATGCATATGTGCCCAAAATCCCAGGAGAATGGATTTCTGCAATGGCCATCCCACCAGGGGGATTTCTCACTTCCCTGCTCTCACTGTCTGTTTCTATCAGGGAAGTGTACATGCCTTATGGCAAGAACCTCTTAACAACAAGAAAAAAAAACCAAACCCCAGGAGGTAATACAGGCACAAAGTTTTTTTTTTTTTTTTTTTTTGTGGGGAGAACATAATGTTCTAAAATTGATTGTGGTGATAACTGCACAATTCTGTGGATACACTAAAAACAAAAAAATAACACTAAATTGTATACTTTTAAGTCAGTGAGTTTTATGGTATGTGAGTTATATCTCAGTAAAGCTGTTATTAAAAAAGATTTAAAGCTATAAAAAATGCTGAAGAACCCAAAAGGACCTTGAGTAACCTTGGCATGGAAAGCTGTCATTTTCAGTCATTCAGCTGTGAAGGTGAGAGTTCAAAACTGGTTTCTGGGGCTGCTGCTGATTTGCTGTAGGGATTTTTTGCACCACCACCCCCCCCCCTTTTTTGTACAGAGAGTTTTGGTC